TTCCGATGCTGCATAGGAGGATCTCATCCATTCGTGTCATTCTGTGGAGCAAATGGTTGCTCTAAATCCAAATGGTACTAGTGACTTTATTGACCTTTCTAAGAAAATGGTATTGGTCGTATGCGTGTTTACACTACGAAACTTAATGTCAGATGGTCCCTTGCTCACATCAGAGCTCATTTACGGAAAATGAAGATATATGTTGTGAAGACATTAGATCACGTAACCACAATGACTCATAATTGAACTAGTCTTTCTCAGATGTCTTGTCACTGTGTTGCTATATCAGCTTAACATCTAAGTAGAGATTCTTATTGCAATTATTAAGGAAGGCTTATATGGATCGGCCAATAGGAATTCTAGTTAGGATGCTTAAAGAAGTCCTTACTCTTTGAAGATCGTTACACGGTCTTAAAGGAGGTCTCTAAAGTTTGGTTGTGTCGTATTCCTCAAGCATGAACCTCTCAAGTCACTCAAAACTTCTCACTAGGGAAGAAGACACACAAACTAAAAACTCAATCTCCTGTGGGACAGCTTAAAGAACATGAAATTCTTCCCAATGATCCTTCCTTTTGCCAAAGATATGTTCAATGGGTGGTAGGTGTGCTCTTGTGGCATTATCCTTCCATACACAACAACCATGAAGCCAGCATCATCAAGACTTGGCTTGGGTGTAAATCTGGGATACATGCTTATGTCCTAAATCCTCTATTGTTCCTACTTCCTACTACCACCAAAATGAGAGAGTTAAGAAAAAGAAAGCAAGAACATAAATTGAAGTTGGGCAATACAAAAAGATGTATAATCATAGAAACCTGATACACTATATAGTAATGTTGGAAGACCATGACAACAGATCATATATAAATTAATCACACACAGAGAGTGTGATCAAGTAGTTAAAGTAAGTCCATGATCACCAAACTTGGCATTTATTATCATAGATGTGTGTGCCATCTTTCTAGCTACAAGATTGCCAATCCATAACCAACCATTGTAGTAAAGCTATATCCAACATTACTTTAATGGCTTTACTAGTGACAATTAACTCATAAAATATTGGCATCATCATTGTTTGTCTTTACAACTGGGACATATGCAAAGATGTTAAGAAGAACCGCCTCCTTGAAAAAGCTAGCCTCCATTGTTTATGACTTATGAGCATACTTTGCAGGCAGCAAAAGAATCATTCTTAAAGAATTTTGTTATAACAAGCTAATGGTGAAAGAGAAAAACGTAATAAAAGGATTAAGTTACCAAGCAAATATGTGTATGGTGCAGCAAGAGAGCACATAAAAGGAGTCATCATAAAAACTAGAACTGAATCAGACATATAGCAGTTGAAGGCTAGAAAAACCATATGCACCTTTTTGCTTATTCTTACTCCCAATGTGTTGGTCTCTTGCAAAATAGAAAGCTTGAGTTGTAAAGGATATACATCGGTCATATCATCTTCTGCCGCCAAAAAACTCTTACCATCCTTCACTGTCCCTTTGGAGTCACTGTGCCTACATGGAGTGGAATGACAATGCCAGTACTAAGAGATCAAGCATTACATTTTGTTCTAAAAGCATCCTTAATTGGCAAAGTGACGCATAGCAATTCATATCAGTCCATTGCTGAAACAATATGTGAATCAAAACATGGGTAAGATCATACTATAACGTTTGGAGAAAGTGATTTCAAATATGCTTAAGGAACATGTTAAACTACATTTAACTGTGTTACTTTCCAATTAGTTATCTTTTTAGGCAAAGGGGAGAAGATTTGAACCCTCCACCTCCAAGATTTTACCACCTACAGCTCTATATGAAGTTAACAGCTTATATTTCCCTCATTAGACAAGAACTTTCAGGCTATTGCCTCTCCTATTTTTAGAATATTAACTAGGAGTAACAAATAAAGAATCGGCCATAGCAACGTTAATAAAACAAAACCACCGTACCATCCCGGTCAAAACCAAAAACATATACCAAATTTTATTGATTATGATGATGCTCCCACACAGAGATAAAAATACGATCGATGATCCATGAAATTTCTAAATAACTATAAAATGCTCACCATTTAAGTGCCTGAAGCCACATATCCGCAACAACCAACGCATAGTTTCGCCCGGATACTCCATTTATATCTCTGTCGTCCCCTCCATTATTCTCCGAAGAATCATTATCATTATTATCATCATCTTGTTGTTGTTCGTCTTCTTCTCCTTTCCTAACAAGGTTAAATGCAAGATCTGACTTAAAAATGTTATTGAGTATCTTCATTGGACCAACATAAGAGGAGGATGCTGGTAACGCATCGTACAAAACCCCTCTCTTCTTCTTCGTCCCCCCATCTGGATCACAATACCCTTGAGCTTCCTTCCACCACCTGCAAGAAAAAGAGAAAAAAAAAATACAAAGAAATCGTTCATGGGTAAGTTATTATTATTGAATTTGATTATATTGAGAAATGAATAGACCTGAAAGGGACCAAGTATAGACGATGGTTGTCGGAGGAGCATTGTTGTTGAGAAGTGTGGGATGTATCATCATCAGAGGGGGAAACTTCCATTTTTAGGGAGAGAGAGGGAAAGTTTGTTCAGATTCAAAAATGGCGGAGGATGAGATTTTGCATGAGACTGAATTGAAATGGGGAAGGAGAGAATGACGGAGTTGCAGAGAGAAATGGGTCCTTCTCTCGTTGTTGCAGACAGGAACAGACCACAGATGCCAACCGATGCAATCGGGTCTCAATGTTTTTTATTTATTAATCTGAACTGCTTTTTTTTAATTGGGTTCTGGAAAAAAAAAAACTTTTTTCCTATTTTTTCTATCATATCCGTGTTATTTAACTCAATAAATAAGAGTTCTAACATAATCATATCTTTTTATTTTTTATAAATTTATTTGTAAATATTATATAAATTTAATATATACTAGAAGGATACTTAAGCAATACAGCAAAATAAATCTCGATTTTATTGTTTAGTTTTTATTTTGTTTCTATTGATATAATATGATTTTATATGTTTTGAGAAAACGATAATGTTTTTATTTTCGAATAAAATATAAATTCGAAAAAAATAAATCAATATTAGTATCAAATTAACTATTTAATAATTCTCGTTTTTTTGGTGTAAGTTCTTGTGTGTCCACAATTACTGATCAATCTTCAATATCTTCATATCAATCATGGCAGATTCTTAGATATTACATGTAAGAACTCAAGAACACTTGAGAGAGAAAGTCAATGCATGTAAGCTCAGTCAAACTCTCTTATTAATCTGAATATTACAATTAAGCTCCTC